TGTCCATCATATGATGGACGAAAGCTCAGCACGTTTTCACCTGAAACGAGGGAGGAAGTCTCGTGGACTGTGTCAGCATGAATATCGTATAAAAGCCCAACGGCTGCAGTGCAACGAGATTCATCCGTCCTCTTCTGGTGAGATTGACTAACGAATCTCTTCTTCATTGACTTTCATACGAAATAAAAGTCCCCCTAACAATGTTAAATCAAGAGATTCATCGAAACCCAGTTTATCATCGTACCAAATCTAGTGTTTCTCTAAGGTTAGTTGAATTGGCTAACCTTAGGTAATATTCTTCTCAACGTCCTTTCTGAAAAAATATAGTTGAGGGACTAATTATGGAAAGGAAGGATCAATCGCTACGTTTCGATGAGGCAGCATTATATGCCGATGACCTGACTTATTTAACTATTCACTTCTGTAGAATAGGCATACTGGGTGCTATAAAAAAATAATTTTGGAGGTTGTGTAGTACATGAATATATTGCATATATTATTGTAGGCATATAGTAGCTTCGAGTAGCATAAATGCCCTTTTTTTAATGTTAACTATTGAAAGGGCATGTCTGATTATTATTCTGTCCAACCATTACATGAAGAATAGTTACTTGATAAAATTTTATGGAAGCTTAACATGGAAGATATTTTTACCTCTTAAGTTGTTTGCCTACCAATCGGATGCATAACTTTCGGTCGTCAATATTAATCTGCCTGCCATTCGTATATGTTCCAGGTGTAAAATAGGGCACATCCTGCAAATAAAAATGCAGGAGTGATTTTTTACTTACTCGCCAATTCCACATGTAAAGCCAAGATGGAATGATAAGACTGAATTTAATAAGAAATTAGACAGATTTATGAATCTATTGGTTCGTGAGGACCATTCTCTCAGCTTCTATCCTCATTAAGGCCTGCTGTGTTATTGCTTACATAAACTACTGCAACAGACATGATGGAAAGTTAAGATGCATTACCATGTCCCCAGTTTGCCAGTCTACCTTCCTTCGAAGAAATAAATGAAAAATTCGACATTACTATTATGCCTCCTGTTTGTGAAAAGGCTGCCCTGTTATCCCGATCAGACAGCTACAAGATGCTATTTTTATGTAAACTTTCTTGTGCTCTAGACATCAGAATCCTCATATTTAGGACGGTAAATTGAGAAAAGTACTCCAACAGAGTCTGCACAAGACAGGGAAAAATAAAGGCATCAGACTGCATTTTATCGGCCGCATCTGCCTGCTGAATCCCATGTCGGCCGCTAAGATGGAGATAAGGGAGGCCAGTGAAATCAACAAACTGAGTAGAATCTTGAATTTCCGACCTGGGGGTAGAAAATAAAAGTAGAACTTGATTGATGAGGAATGAGAAGAGGCTTAGCCACAAAATGCGGCCCACATACCCTTGTCACATTTGTCATACCATGTGAACTGGCGCCTATCGACCATAATCAGACTCTGGAAAGCAGCAAATGGCCAATTTCCTCCGGGGATTTCAAAGACTTTCGAAAGATCCAGACTATCATGGCTTCCATT